TTGATTCTTCTGTATCCCTGAGAGAACAGTGACCTGTTCTATCCAAAGATTAAAAAAACCCCACAAACCAAAAACACTGTCCAAGATGACGAAATGACAAACCTACTAATGGGTTGATACTGAGTGTTTACAAGCATGGAAAGGAAGTGCATAAACTCTCCAAATAAATAGCGGAATAAGACCTGATTAGCACAGCACATCTTGTTCACTTACTATATGTGAAAAATTCTTGGGGGAGGTATTCTTGGCTTTGCATGACAAATAGAACGTGAATATACACAGTTTTGGTGTCAAGGTTTTAATGAAACTTTATTGCTCCAATATGTGGAATGAACATTCTGCGGTTCTCACATAATGCTTTTTATTGCACTAATATACTACACCATGCAACTTTAAACTGTAAGACCACACAAATCAGAAAGCTAATCACAATTTTCTTTTATTATTACTTCTTTTTAGTGCAAGATGATGCATAGAATTATAAATGGAAGTTAACTCTGGCTTCTTGAAACTCTACTGTAAAAGAAGAATGCCACATACATACTTAGTAGCTGTAGTTGCTACCTTTACCGAAAAAGGAAAGGCGGGGTGAGACATGGAAGCCTTGATTTTCTTTGCTTTTGTTAATATTATGACAGAAAGGGAACAAATATACTTCATTTGACTTTTTTTAAACTGCACCTGTAGTGAAACCCCACAAATGTGCCACATATACCTCCTGCTTTAAGTCTGCTTATGCACCCCAAACCACCATGAATGCTTTCACTCCAAGCAGAAAGTTTAAACATTCCCAGTACCTTTTCCCTAATAAAACCCATGGAGGACTTGAGTAATGGATCGTACCCTGTTGGAAGGCTACTTGGGCCTTCAAGCTAATTAGTATTAACCACTGTATTAAGCAAAAGGCTGCAAAAATACATCTCCTGGCCTCAGCAGAGCATGCAGGATCTCAAGAGGTTTATTCGATAGAATTCACTGATAAGAGCTCTTTTAAACCTCTTCCTGTATTGTATTTTAAGCCTCTTCCTGTACGTAAAGCTCTTCAAGCTGCTGAGAGCACTGACAGCAGCTTTTCCATGTTACTGGAAATACTAGACACTAATGACAAGACACAAAAAACAGCTATGGCATGTTATGTGTTAGATTCCTGGAGCGCACAGATGACAGGCGAAGAGAGGAAAGGTCATTATGACCCCAGCTATAGCAGATTTCATGTTGTGCAAAGCAGCAGAATCCTAGATGCTGCTCTAGCTTTTGACAGAACCAAATGCATTTTTCAAGCATTTCTATAGGCACCTGGATTTTTAATTTTTGCTGAAAATTAAAAGATATACTATTGCAAATTCAAGAACCCAGTCAAACATTGTAAAATAGTTTAAGTGATGCAATTGGGATACATATTAAAAGGACTGAAGAGGTCATTGACTGATATGGAAATACTGGAATGCATTAAAAAAAAAAACAAAAAAAAGGCCCAGTGAACACTGCAGAAAAACAACATCAAAATGAGTCATGATTCCCAAGTGGCATACGGTATTTTAAGACAATTTTTTTCTCCCTTGATTGCCTAGAATGTTGAAGTTGCAACTTCTGTAGGAGATTAGCAAAACTTGCTGCAATATTGTTGGGTTTTGACAATTTGTGTTTTGACCAGAAACCGGTAGAAACTGTTAACCTTCCTAACCTCTGCCACAGAATACACTCAGCAACGCCTTGCAATTTATCCAGCAAGAGCAGTGGCCAAAGCCAATCAGTGGTAAGCAACTTCTTCAATCATTTATAAAATGCATGACAACTAAGACACAAAAAGATACATTGTATAAAACCAAAATGAAGTGTCACACAAGTGTGGGAAAAAAACATACTGGCAAAAAATATCACGGGATTAATCTTTAGAGTAGACACAAAGAATAAGAAAAGCCCAAGAAACTACCCAATCGACAGAAGGAGACAGGCAAGGAATATTCCACACATGGATAATATGGTATGGGCAGCTCCCAAAGGTAATGAGAATCCACTTCTATGAATACTTTCAAGTTCTTTAGTACTCACTCTTTACATTCTTTGGACACATGAGGTGGCACTGTGTATTTGCAGTCCATTATCATAGTCAGAGTTTCACTGTCGTTTGCTTCTTGAAATGGTGGTTGTCCGCAAACCAGCATAAAGAGGATGACCCCCAAACTCCATATATCTGTAAATATACAGCACATACTATAAAATAACAGTTGAGAAACAGACATAACTACCATGAAAACCATAAAATATTCTTGAAATGCATACTGGGGTGATTACTGTAGTCTTGATTATGAGCATTGCTTATGTCATTTGCAATTCCACTGAAGTACAAAATACAGTAGTTCCACTGTTTGACAGCTTTTATAGTTTCACAGGGGAAAAATTATCAGAATTCATGACTTCATGTCATGCACAACAGTGGGAGATGCGTAACACCTTCGACAGATAAAGCTCAAGACAATCTGGTCACTCAGAAGAATTCATTACCCTTTTCTTCACTGGTAGGCACAGGTTATTAAAGAGATTTGCATTCAAAGCATGCTCCTTTCTGAAGGACTAACATAAACTGTTCCCAGTGCAGTTTACATGTTACTCTGAAGTAAGAAATCCCAAAGAAAGCCACTTATTTCAATGAAGCTGATTTAGGTATGTTTCTCCTTCAGTGATTTTTGCTACTTCCACTGGTAAACCATTGATTTATGTAAAACCATCTTCTTACACCAATCATATTGCAAAGTATGAAGGGGTGGTTGGTATTTTTTGGTGGTGGTGGTGGTGTTTTTGGTGTTGGGTTTGTTCTGGTTTTGTTTTTTAAAATATCCCAATGTAACAATTAACAGTGATCTCTACAACACTCTGGGAGTCTTCTTGTTCCCTTTTATTCCCTGCTTGCGTAAATAGAAAAACACTTAACTTTCTTGTTCCCCAGTGAAATGACACAGAAAAAGATGAGAAAGAAGCACTTCCAGGCATGATGCCCTTTAGTTGGTTTCTACTTACTGTAAAAGCTAACATTTAGTTCAAATCATAAAGAGTTTGCCAACAGAGATATGGACATACTGGAGATAGCCCAATGAAAGTGATGAAGGGACTGGAGCGCTCATCTCTCTAGGTGTCCCTGCTTGACCAGAGGGATTACACCAGCTGACCTTCAGAGACACCCTCCCTGCAGCATGAAACACCAAGAGTAAAACCATACTTCCTTTTGCCCATGAGAAGCAGCACATTCAAGGTGTCTGAGAAACTGAAAGCATGACAGCACAGCAAGAACTAAAACAACACTGATAGGGTGAACACACAGAACTTGAATGCTTCATTTAAAGCAGCACCGTGTTGTCTCAGCTCCACTATAACACAATTATTTTTCACTTCTCACTGTGTAAAATGTACAGTAAATGTATGGTAAGTGTAAAGTGGTAAAAAAAGCTGACAGGAAGCAGGAAACATTAAACAAGTTTTCAAGTCACTTAATTTGAAATATATGAAGCCAGCAAGAACAATGGAAAAATGGAACTGGTATTTTAGAAGTGGTATTTCAAACTACCACCGCTACTCAGACAACAGCTGCGTGCAATCCTAAACAAAATAAGAACAGTAACAACAGTATCTTGCCCTTCTCAACCTACCACAAAATTTCATATATTCACTTTTTCCAAGACACACACAACATGCTGGATTAAATAAAAAGCAGACTTTTTATTGGCAGATAAAAGAATGGTTTGGATTGGAAAAGACCTTAAGATCATCTAGCTCTAACCCCCTGCCATGGGCAGGAACACGTCCAACTAGACCAGGCTGCTCCAAGCTGCTGTGTCCAACCCGCCCTTGAACACTGCCATGGATGGGGTAGACACAGCTTCTCTAGGCAACCTGTTTCAGTGCCTCACCAGCCTCACAGGGAAGACCTTCTTTAAATCCAACCTAAATCTCCCGTTTAACTTTAAACCCATCATCCCTTTTCTTATCCCTACAGCCCCTAATGAAGAGTCCTTCTCCAGCATCTCTGTAACCCCTTTAAGATACTGGAAGGCTGCTTTGAGGTCTCCATACAGCTTCTCTTCTCCAGCCTAAACAGCCCCAACTTTCTCAGCCTGTCTTCATTTGGGAGGCATTCCAGCCCCCTTTATCATCCTCATGGCTCTCTTCTGGACTTCCTCCAATAGCTTCATGTCCTTATCTCAGTTTCCAGGACAACAGATATCCTTCCAGTTTTGCTTTATAAAGTTTTTATTTTATATGTTTTGAAGACACTTACAGTTTGACATAAATAGTACTATCAAAAAGGGGAAAATAATTTCCTTTGTAAAAAGGATCCATAAACTTGAGGGTTAAAAGCACTGTTTATAAACATATCTTCTAAATTTAAGTAGGTGACCTACACTCCCAACATGCAAGTAAGTTTAAACATGCTGGTTTTCTAGCCTTCAGTGTAATCTGAAATCCAAGGTTTAGACTCTGAAGATTTAAAAGCAGATATTCCAAAATAATGAGTTAATACCCACATAACATTTTGAAGGAGTTACAAGATCAACAGTTAAATGACTATATGGTACATTCAAGAAATGCCAAGTTTATACCCAAATTTTTAGTTTTAAGATATTCTATATATGCAAAAATCAATCCTGCATCTGTGCTTTCCACCTTTCTCTACGGGAGATTCATAACTGCACGTTTTACTGTCAAATTCAGAAAAATGTTGCAAAAAAAAAAAAGGTTTAAAGAAATAAAAATTATGCTTCTAAGATACAATTTTTTGTTCACCCATTGAATGCAATAACTATGCTACATTTTGGAGAAATCTTTGTTTCCAGAATAGTGCCATCTGGCTAAAAGATACAAGCTCTTTATGCATGGCTGTCTAAGAAATTAATACAGGAGAATCAGATTATTTTATTATAGTGCATTTTTACAAATTTTTTTTATTTCCCTGAACAATACACAAAGCCACACAACAGGAACTTTCTTTGCCATTCAGTTTTGTGCTGTCATAATCAGTGCTGCTCTATTATTCTTTCCTATTAACAGAGAAAACTTATCTGTCCTCTGGATAGGAAGAGAGAAGATGGAGGTTTGCACTCAGCTGATCAAGTGCTTTGACCAACACATGGTCAGTACATGCTGCCCATTCTTGTTCTGTACCCTGCTATTGGCAATTTCTGCTCACATCCTAGGTGTCAAAAAACGGGAATAACTCCTCCTGCTGGGAGACCACTTCCACCAGCACAGTAGAAAATGACACCTTGATCTTTCATTTCTAAGTCCCAAAGACTGTTCTTACCCTGTTAAAAGGGGGGAGTTCAATCAAACTGCATGAAAGCCTCAATCAAGATCTAGTGATCTTATTTGGTCAAAAGCATCAACTGTGACAAGACAGTTGCATAAGCAGATTAGAAAGATGTTGGAGCAGCAATGAGATAAAAGCCTGACATTTCATCAAAGCAAGGCTTTCAGAAAGAAATAGCATCTCTTATTAGACCTGCTAATAACTGGGAAAAGGAGGAAGAAAAATAAAAACTCAGTTGTAAGGAACAGATGTTTTTCTTTAGACCTCCACACAGTTGCAAAAACATAGCATTTTTAAGTGAACAGAGCCCCTGTAGTATGTTGCCACCTTACGTCAACTCAGGGGAAAAATCCTAGCTGAGACAGTTTCCTACCTTTACACACCATTAGAAGCTGTAGATGCACATTTAAAAGCAAAGATGACAACATCTATTTACGTTTTTACCCATTCACTGAATGGCACTAGGTCACTAAAGGGCTACACAAGCACCAAAATCAAAAAACCACAAAGGAATGTGCAGAACTATATGGGCAGGATCAGAGTGCAGAGTAAGACTACTTTTTTGAGACCTGTTAAATGGGATACAGCACTGTTTCCCTTCAGTTCAATGCAAGTATGGTTCGACATAAAGGATGCACAATAAAGAACTCTGCAGAGATCTACCTTACTCTCCTTACATACCATTTTAAGTTAATATATTACCTAAAATGCTACGTTAATGCAAAAAAAAAAATTAATCAGGTTTAAGACAAAACTTTCAGATGTTGCAATAAATGTACTGCTGGATAGCACAACCAGATAAAGGAGCGGGTTTTGTAAGCCAAACTCCTTGCCCTGGGCCAATGACTCAGCATACATTTTCAGTTATATTCCCCTATCACAGCTCGGAACTGAGGTGCCACTGTGTCCTGGGTTCAGCAGTAGTAGACATTTTTCTCCTTCTTTGTAGCTGGTGCAGCGCTGTGTTTTTTATTTTTGGCCTGGGAACAGAGCTGATAACGCTCAAATAATTGGTCTGGCCAGGGACTTTTCTGAGCCTCATGCTCTGCCAGGGAGGAGGGGGAGCCGGGAGGAAGCACAGACAGGACACCTGACCCAAACTGACCAAAGAAGTATTCCATACCACAGCACATCATGCCCAGGATGTAACTGGAGTTACCCGGAAGGACACGGGGTCTTCTGGGTTGGACTTGTTTTCGGCGGGTGGTATCGTATTCTCTTCCCTTGTTATTTTCTCTTATCATTATTATCATTGGTGGTAGCAGTAGTGATTTGTGTTACACATTAGTTACTGGACTGTTCTTATCTCAATCTGTGGGAGTTACATTCTTTTGATTCTCCTCCCCATCCCTCCGGGAGCGGGGAAGGGGGGGGGGGTGGGGTTCTCTTTCAAAAGCACAGTGAAGACCTCAAGATGCAATTTAGCCTTTAATTTGCATAGTCGTAATCTGAAACTGCCATTGCTATTACAAGAATAAAATAGGTGAGATTAGGATTTTTAAAAGCAGTAGTAGCTAGATACAGTAGAGAATATTTTATTGTTTTTAAAGCCATTAAATAATGTTGAACTGGAAAGGACTACCAAAGCAGGATTCCCAGGATCATAACAACCAGGGCTTTGTATATGCAACTTCCTTACATAACATGAAGTCACTGCCATAGAAATCAAACTACATCATTAGCTGTCTATGCTATGCCTGCCTTAACACAAGGCAGTCAAACATCTGTTATGCTCAGGTTTGTGCACTGCATAAAGGATACCCATATTCCTCTGCTTAACCACTGGAGCTTCACCATTTCATTAGGCACTGATTGCTTTCTAAAGTTCGCCATTTACTCCTAAAATAAGCACTATGGATTTCAGAAAGTTAGTTTATGTGACAGAAGGGATTCTTATACCTTAAGATTCACTCAAATTTCTACCACTCCTCAGAAGTCAAACGTGTCACGCTTTGTATATGCATTGTGAATTTGTGATTTTAAGCAGCCTAAAACACATACTCATTTTGAAATAGACACATTTCACTTTTAACTACCTAATGTAAATTGAGTCTGCTTATTAAAGTTGTTTATTTTTGTCCTTGACAGGAAAAAGGTGGCTTTTTCTTCTAGCTTAAATGTAGAACTGCTTAACAGTTTATACAGTGTATATTTCTCCAGAAAGTCTGCTTCTTCAAAAGTGATTTGTAACACTGAGTAAATTTAGTCAGGTTTTATGCATTTCTCATTGTAACGTTCACTATAACAGTTATCTTCTACTAGAAGCCATTTAATAAGCAAAAGAGAAAATAAATCTTTTATGGAGATGACAGAAATGTTTACATGTTTATTTTCCCACTGCAGCAGTATCAACAGACTGTGGACAAAGGAAAGATGGAAATGGACCCCAATTTCCATCATCATGGGCGATTACTCTAACTGCCATCTTAAGAATTAAAGAATGTCATCACCACTGCTTCAAAACAGATTTATGAAAGAAACCCCTACCCATAGAAAAAGACTCAACGCACCAGCTTTTAACTATTAAGTTCTTCTATGTAGAGCTACAAAGCAAAATCCAATGCAAAGATCATCAGCATCACTGCACTTTGGGCACACTCAGGGCTATGCAGCAACTGAGCAGTATGTAAAGACTGCTGTTTTAAACTCCAGACACAAAACCCTACTATGAACTGCTTTATTTGGGCTGTAATTTAGGGGGCAACTTTCACTGGGCTCTGAGTAGGTACAAGCTGATAATTCAGTGGTAAGAATGCTTTATACAAGTTGAAATTTAAGATCCTGTTCACAGCATAGGTTATGGAAAACAGAATGAACAAACTTATAGCATAGCTTCACATAATAGTCTGAAGAATCAGAACAGTTTAAGAGTAAAAATTTATATGACATGTCAAACATTGCAGAAACTGAAACTTCTAATAGAAAGTGATGAAAAATTACATCCTACAGTATAAAAGGATAAAAGCTGATACAATACTGAATTGTTTGGATAGCATCCGTTGATATACTTGTGCTTCAACAGGAGAATAAGAAAAATATTTCCAATCCTATATAAGCTAAAAAGCTTTAAAAAAATGCATGTCTTGTACAAAAAGTCAGTAGCAAGATATAGAGTAACTGTTAATGATTTCAGCATTTCTATGTATCACAAGTATTTTTAGACTACCAGGTGCACAGACTGCTGGAAGATGCTCAGACTGGACCACCTGTGAAATCTGAAAAGTATGGTATCCTGGATTTAGCAGTATCAGTCATTTTTTCTCTTTCTTGGTAGCTGGTGCAGTGCTGTGTTTTGACTTTCGAGCTGGGAACAAATCTGATAAAAATGATATTTTGGTTTGGCCAAGGACTTTCTGAGCCTCATGCTCTGCCAGGGAGGAAGGGAAACCAGGAGGAAGCAGAGACAGGACACTTGACCCAAACTGACCAAAGAGGTATTCCATACCACAGCACATCCTGCCTTGGATGTAACTGGGAGTTACCCGGAAGGGCTAGTGGACTGCAGGGTTGGAGGAAGTATCCGTCAGTGCTTGGTCAGGCTGGGGGGGGCGAGTTATCGGTCACCTGGTGATGAGGTCTTGTATTCTTTTCCCTTGTTATTTCCTTTATCATTACTATTACTGGTGGTTGCAGTAGTGGTTTGTGTTATACCTGAGTTACTAAACTGATCTTATCTCAACCCATGGGAGCTGCATTCTTTCTGATTCTCCTCTCCGTCCCTCCAGGAGTAGGGGGAGGGCAGGAAGGGGGGGGGGGAGTGAGTGAAAAGCTGTCTGGCTGGGGTTAAACCACGACATAGGGATAAACAACAAAGATTACTTTTTCACAGATACTCAGTTTTTAAGTGATTGAACTGTTCTTCCATTCTTTCACTTATAATGAAAAAGGCTTTGAATGAACTTGTGTACTGACCTCTGTAGTTTTCAGGGATACCACCACCTTAAATTCGGCTATTTTTGGGGTCTTTGTAAAGTAAAATTTATTTTTTCCTTGCAGAAAGCTGAGGAAGAGATCATCTGCAATCAATGCTAACATTTTCAAAATTAACAGGCACAAGTGGGTTTTCTCCTTGTTTTAAAGCACTACAAATTCAATTAAAATTGCTACTAGAACACACACACAAGTGAATTAGGAGAAATCATTTCCTTCCCCCACCCATCCAAAAAAGAGCATGAACAGCCAATGGCATTTAGGAATTTATTTTCATAATTAGCTTATCTGTCTGATGAAACAGTCTGCTCTATAGATGTTATTTTATTTGACTAAAACGTGACCGTCAGTAACCAGTCTTATCTTTGGAAGTGTTTCTTATTTTCATTCAGTCTGGCAACTAGTACTTAGTTTTCCCTGAAGACAAAGCATGGGTCTTGCTGGTGGCATAAAATTATTAAAATACAGAAAAAAAGTTGTTCCTTTTTTTTTTAGTAATTACTGCCTCTCAAATTTCAGCAAGGATATTTTGACAAAAACCCCCACCCTTGAAAGGTCTTACTGAACACATGCCACTGCCTCTATTCCAAAATAACCTGCTTGACTCATCAATTCTGCATTTAGAAATGCATTCTATCTCCTTTGGTTTCAGTTGCTTAGTCACATTTCAGAAGTTACTGAGTCTACATTAAAAACAAACAAAACCAACATTTTCTGTGTGAATTCCAAAACTCCTGCTCCAGGAAATAATGAGCCAGGATGAACACCAATACTGATTAACTAAATGTAAAAGGAAGTTTTTCTCTCTATATAAAACATATTCTCAAAATCACTGGACATACCAGTCTATAGAGTACACACAGCTTATGCACATTTCACTGCAATGTTTTTGGTCTCTTTTGTATATAAATACTAAAATGATTTTGCTCCTGGTATCTAAGAAATACTTCATATTTTCTGACTATCTCTGCCTAGAGGTTTAAGCTGTAGAATGCATAATTAGCACTTATTTATTAAAAAAAAATAAGGTCCCACCATACCCATGTTGTCAAATTAGTCAGCCATGGACTGAACATAAGTAATCTGAGTATTTGTTTGCAAGATACATGAAATGAAGAATGAAGCTTCATGGCTGCAGAGATGTACTTGTCATAATGAAATCTTGTTCCACAACAGCAGTTCGAAATATTATGAAAACAGCTCCCTCATGAACTCCATGAGACGACTAAGAATCATCCCTATACTTAAGTTATAGTTTAACTGATACGGTAGTAACTGAAGACTGTCTTGACAGGTTCTCCTCTGTAGTTTCACTTGGATAAATCATTCTTTGCTTCACCCAGTAATTTACTGGTGAATGCATTAAAACTTGTGCATAAAGTATTCCAGAATGGAACATAAGTCATATTTTATAAATATTAGCCAGCACAGATTTACTGAGAAGTCCTTAGGATCACAGACTCCCACCCTTCATTACAGCTCCGTCACATCATAACTTCATTTCTGGATACAATGCTCCTAAACCTGTAGCACAACACCCTCAATCTGAGGCATTAAGAGTACTTTCTTGTTAATAAGTAACTGGATTGAGAGTAAAAAGCAGAATCAAAGGATAACATACTACACAAAAATTGGACTCCCCTACCTGCATACAAATCAGCACAGAAGTAAATTCTTTGTTAACATGGCGTGAATATCTTCAAGACTGAAACTTCCTAAACGTGTTCTAACAACCAATTCCTTGCATTTGCCCCTTCTAAAAATTATAAAAAGCTCATTTTTGACATTTTTTTAAATTTGATTTGGTTTTTTCAGCAGCAAGTTACACAGGCACAGCAGGGAGTAAGCAGAAGAGTGTGGCTGCTAACACAAGGACACAGCAGGAAAGCACAGCATGGAAATACTGTGTACTGACACCAATTCCTTCTGTTTTGCTTCAAAAAACATCTGAAGCTGGAAAGTAGAGCACACAATTCTCCTAAAACTGCACTTTGATACTTAATGAGGTTCTCTTACATGGAAGTTGAAAATAAATAAACTAGGCTGAGTTCATTGAACCTGAACTTGGTAACACAAAAAAAAACCAGCAGGTCCTACCACCTTCTCCCAGTACTCTAATCCAAACTGCATGCTCCCTTCACTTCATTTGCACCAGCTCTTCCACTCAGTGCTAAGGGAACAGTCAGTTCTGCTAACCTGGCAGAAGGCAAGCCTTCTGGTAAGGTAAGGCAGAAAAGGTTTCTGTCAAGTGAGCTGATAAAAAACAACTCATCAAATGGTCAGTCATGGAATAGATTGCAGCACATGAGCAGTAAACCCTGCACTGGTACAAGCAAAACAAGGAAGACCTTTCACGCTGGAAGCAGCTAAGTATTACACTTCTAGCTTTCTGCACCCTTGTATCTTCAAGCTTTTTCTATAATATATCTAACTATAAATCTTCTACAGTGTTGCAATACAACATTAAAGAGGGAGATTTTCAAAACAGAACAATCAGTGAAAGATTCTGCAGGACTTCTTGCTCTTCATTTCTGTCATATTGGACTATAATCTGATTTTTAGCATACTGAAACTCCAGAAAGCTGTCAGGTATGCTAAATGATTCAATACTGTATGATGTTTGCAAGTATTTTATCACCTTTTTAACTCAAGCCTGTGAAATCTTGTACTCAGCATTTTTATTGCACAAAAAGTTCATGTTATACACACTGGCCATTAGGCTTACATCAGTCATTTGGTTTGTGAATAAAACGCTATACCCACACAGAAACATCAGAACTAGCTCCAGAGGCTAGGTAAAGCTCAAGCAACAGATAAATGCAGCTGAAATTTTGAAAACCCACTCCAGCCACACTGTATTCAAGTAAGAATGCAAACATTTGATGCAAAAATCAAAAAAAAGAATTTGTGAACATCCCAACAAAAGACAAAGTTGGTCTAAAAGCAGTATAATGATCTCAGGAAAGCAAAATGTATGTATGACAAATCTTCTGTTTTCTTTAACAAGATACCCAGGTCTGGGTTGCACAAGAAAGCCACCATCTAACTAATAAAGCAATGGATGTTATCCAAGTGCAACGAGGCAGGATGTTATCCTTTGCAACTGAGGCAGCAGCAAACTGGATTTAGACTACAAACTTCCAGTTGCAACAGTATGCAGCAGTATGCAGTAGTATAGCACTGGGCCACAGTAAACACAATATTCTTGTTAGTCGTGTCTTTTATAGAATCATAGAATCATAGAATAGTTAGGGTTGGAAAGTACCTCAAGATCATCAAGCTCCAACCCCCCTACCATGGGCAGGGACACCTTGCTCTAAACTGTATTACCCAAGGCCTCATCCAACCTGGCCTTGAACACTGCCAGGGATGGAGCACTCACAACCTCCCTGGACAACCTATTCCAGTTACTCACCACCCTAACAGGAAAGAATTTCCTCCTTATATCCAATCTAAACTTCCCCTGTTTAACTTTTAACCCATTACACCTTGTCCTGTCACTACAGTCCCTAATGAAGAGCCCATCCCCAGCACCCCTATAGGCCCTCTTCAGATACTGGAAGGCTGCTATGAGATCTCGACGCAGCCTTCTCTTCTCCAGGCTGAACAGCCCCAACTTTCTCAGCCAATCTTCATATGGGAGGTGCTCCAGCCCCCTGATCATTCTCGTGGCCCTCCTCTGGACTTGTCTCAACAGATCCATGCCTTTTTTATGTTGAGGACACCAGAACTGCACACAATACTTCAGGTGAGGTCTCATGAGAGCAGAATAAAGGGGCAGGATCACATCCTTCGACCCACTGGTCACGTTCCTTTTGATGCAGCAAAGGATACGGTTGGCTTTCTGGGCTGCAAGCACACATTGAAGCCGGCTCATGTTCATTTTCTCATCGACCAGCTCAAGTCCTCTTCCTTGGGCTGCTCTGAATCTCTTCTCTGCCCAGCCTGTAGCTGTGTCTGGGATTGCTCTGACCCAGGTGTAGGACCTTGCACTTGGCATGGTTAAACTTCATGAGGTTGGCATCAGCCCACCTCACAAGCAAGTCAAGGTCCCTCTGGATGGCATTCCTTCCCTCCAGCGTATCAACCGAACCACACAGCTTGGTGTCATCGGCAAACTTCCTGAGGGCGCACTCAATCCCACTGTCCATGTCAGCGATGAAGATGTTAAACAAGACCGGTCCCAACACCGATCCCTGAGGGACACCACTTGTAACTGGTCTCCACCCAGACACTGAGCCATTGACCACAACTCTTTGTGTGTGGCCATCCAGCCAGTTCTTTATCCACCAAGTGGTCCATTCATCAAATTGATGTTTCTCCAATTTAGAGACAAGAATGTCGTGTGGGACAGTGTCAAACGCTTTACATAAGTCCAGGTAGATGACATCAACTGCTCTACCGCTGTCCATCAGTTCTATAGCCCCATCAGAGAAGGCCACCAAATTGTTCAGGCAGGATTTCCCCTTGGTGAAGCCATGCTGGCTGTCTCCAAGCACCTTGTTGTTTTTCATGTGCCTTAGCATGCCTTCCAGGAGAATCTGCTCCAAGATTTTGCCAGGCACAGAGGTGAGACTGACTGGTCTGTAATTCCCCGGGTCATCCATTTTCCCCTTCTTGAAAATGGGGGTTATATTTCCCTTTTTCCAGTCGTCGGGAATGTCACCTGACTTCCATGATTTTTCAAATATGATGGCCAGCGGCTTAGCAACTTCATTCGCCAGCTCCTTCAGGTCCCACGGATGGATTTCATCAGGACCCAAGTGGAGGAATATGCTGCCACAATTCTCTTGGTGTTGCTGTGACAACAAACCACAGTGCTAAGTAATTGTGATGGTACCTACAGTGTTATCTGTGTATCACATTACCCTGTTAGAGGCCTGCACTCAACTGCTAAAGAAACAATCACAATCTCAGAATCTGAATTTGCCCATTTCTCATCCCCAGAAGGATGAATTCCCTCTGCAAATGTTTCCATGCAGCTACAAAACCACATACAGAATATCTAACTATAACAATAAAACCTATCAGAAGTGCCAATGTTTTCCAGGATTACTGTAGCCCACACAGCACTTAATACTTTGTAGAGATGCCAAGCAGTCAAAATAGAATTTGCTCTATTCTGAAAGAATCAACTGATCTGAAAAACTATAATCAAACTTTATCACCTAGGAAAGAGGTGATTTCTATTCCTTTAATGATCCAATCTCTGTTGATGCTGGTAAAGCAAAAGTATTACCAGAAGCATGCTTTATTCTTTCTCACCTGTAGTTATATAGTATAGTTTCTCACCTGCACTTCTGAATACTGCCGGAGTTCACTGGATTGCACCACTGCTCTAGACAGAACTCAGCCTGATCTA